TTTGCAGACTATTTCGAAATGCAAAAATATGAAAGCGGTGCGGACATTATTTTTATTTAATTTGTTTAATCTTTTTTCATAACTTGAATTGATGTAGTAGTATGTACCCCTGACGATATTTTTGTTTGGAATCGTTATATGTACTCTTGTTTGTATTGTAATGTTTGTTCTTTTGTTAAGCATAAATAAAAATTTTAAAAAAAGAGAATCGGACTGTGGCGGTCAGTGACGCGTCTGGGCCAGCAGGTGGAGCTGTTTCCTCTCCCCACCAGGTGTTCCGGCCCCGGCCCGTGGTGACGGGGGGCGGACTGCCCTGTGTCGGTGGGGTCTGCCTGGCGGACAGACCGACTGGATCACCAGTCAGTAAAGATCTTTAATCAGTATTCAAGGAGCAGAGGTTGCTAGCAATAGGGTCAGTGCTACGTACTATTCAGTATTCACATGTTTCCACTTGGTCATCTATTAAAATCACACGGTCTGAATATTATTTTCACAGGTAAAAGTTTATTCCATGCTGAAAAGAGTCACAACGTTTTGGCTGCGGAGGTGAGGTGAACTTCATGGATCTTAAGGTGAGCCTTCTCCACCTGAACGTCTTATTATGCCAGAAGCTCTGTGTGCAGGTGTGAGCTTGGTCAGTACCTGGATGGGAGACTCCTGGGAAAACTATTATTCCTGGGAAAGGATTATTATAGAAGAGACGGGGAGAGAGAAAATGGAATGAACCTGAAAACCGACAGGGACTGTTTCTGCAGCCGTCGTGTTGCAAATCCATCCATCTCGGTCTTTTACAGTTACAGTTGACCACGTTTTTTTCCTCATAGTTAATGACTGAGTCTTCCGTACCCCGCTGGCGTGCCGGTGCAGTGATTTGGCAATTGGAATTCGAGAATCGCGCCTCAGTGTTATTAATTATTAATGTCGCTCCCGGTGAAGCGGCGAGAAAGTGAGCGAGTGACGGACGCCGCTCCGCTCCATCAGTCTGTGCTGCTGCCTCTCGCCGCCAGAGGGCGCACGGCGACCGTGCTTAATGTTCGAGCGAGAACTACCCGATCGACCCTAAACTGTGAACTAGATAAACGCGATCTTTTAAACCTTGGCTTTCAGACACCCGTGAAACCCGAACCCGCGAGGCTCTCAAATGAACAAATACACGTTCAAAAAAAAAAAAAGGACAGGCTCACCGCTCTGTATAGGATTAGTTAAGCAATTAAATCGGCCGTGTTTGAAGTTGAAAACGTTTCTCACCTTATCGTTAAAAAACATTCTGCTTTAAGATCCATTATTATTATGAAGAATCCTAGATCCTCAAAATATCAGACTAGTATTTATTTTTTAATGTATTTTTATGTATTTATTTGAGGTTATACAGGGATTACAATAGAAGGCAAATAAGGAAAACAGTTATAAGCACACTGGAACCCAACCACACATACTGTACATTCACCTGTTGTCTGAACACAGACATGATGGAGAGGGGGGGGTGTCCCCTGGCCAGGTGACCCCGACTCCCCTCTCCCTGTACCCTGAACAGCCTTGTACACACAGCAGACACTGTGAAGCAACACGATCTATGAAAGTCACTAAGTGGAACGCATATTCTGTTAGACTTTCACTTATTTTAGATCTATATCATTGCAAAGCCCATCATGAGCTGACAAGGTCTCTGGTGAATTGATTAATTGAAGGCACAGCATGCCAAGATTTTAAAGGTTCATGCGACTGAAGACGCTTTCAACTAAGACTGCACTTCTGCGCGACTGTCTTAATGATACATTTATTTAACAATATTACAAAATAGCCCCTACACTTCTTACATTGCAGACCCCACACCAGCGAGAGCAACAGGTTAAAGAGATTCTTACAGCAGTGCTTTCCAGCCTTGAGTCAGAGAGTGGAGATCATGGTAGGGTGGCGTAATGAAGGCAATAATTGGATTAATAAAGTACATAAGTGAACATATATTAGCACATATATCTGCCGTAGATTAGGACACTTGAACAGAAGGAAAAGATGAGAGGAATCCATTAGGCCCATTCTGTTCAGCCAAAAAAAACCAGGTAGAGTTTCAGTGAGAGCTGAACAGGGATTTTCTCCAGAAACCCATGTGCACACAGACCTAATTTCTTGGAACTAAAAGAACTGAGATCCCAGGCTCCCTTTACACCCTAGACCCCATCCAAAACCTGCTATCATGGCAACAGGCATAACTGAAGCACAGGACAGAACTGGGCCACAATCTGCACTCTGCACAGCTAAACTCTGAGCATCGTCCAGTTAGCAGAAGCAGCAGAGAGTTCGGGAAGTGTCCTGCAGCCCGGACACACCAGCTCGTTTCCTCTTTACTTCAGTCGGGGCCTTGTGTAGGAATAACCATGCTGAGCCTGAAACCATTTACTCAAAAACAGCGGCTGGTACTTTCAGATTTATCCGACGTCATGCTTCGAATCGGATTCGCCTTCTAATTTCTGACTGATTACAATGAAAGAAAAATAAATAGTGCGGCTGAAAAACAAGTGATGTCACCCGGACACTGTTTACCACCTCCGCGTACAGTACATCACGTCTAAGGCAGTGCGGCAGAAAAGGAACACGAGCTGCAGAAGGAATCGGAGACCAGCCCTCTCACGGTGCTCAGCTGCACGGGGTCGCAGTGCCTGAACAAACACAGCAGGGTCTGGGACGCGTTAAATAACCCAGAACGCCAGGGAGCAGAGAAACTCTCTCTGTGCATGGCCAGCAGGAGCAGAGCTCCATATGAGAGAGCTGACAGTGCACAGAGCTGAGAGATGAGACGGGTCCCTCGTACGGAGAGAACTCGCCCTCATCTGCTTTACCACTATAAATTCTACACTGTTGATAATGGCGTCAGATCCACACCTACGTTTACAAACGTAATGTGCCACTGTCCCTCTCCCGGCGCCATTCAGCTCTCCCCTTGGCACCCCCTCTACGAGAGTGCTGCTTATTGAACACATCCCTTCTTAACCCAGCCTGGTGTGTTAAAGCAGGGCCTGACTCATACGTCCGTGCCAAAGGCTAAGGGTTTGTTTAGTGAACTGCGGAGCACTGTGGGAGAACCGGTCAGCTTCCTTCGTGCCGCCTGTTGGCAACTCGATTGGGGGAGCGGGCGGAGGAACGGAGCAGAGGCAGCGTGACGGTGGTGGCGGCACGCGCTATTCCTCGTGGGCGTACACGTGGTCCTCAAACTCCTGCTGCTCCAGGGCGTCGCAGATCAGGCTGCAGAACGGGCACACCTTGTGGCTCTGCTCGTGCTCCTCCAGCTCCTCCTGGCTGATCCCCGGGAACTGCTCCTGACAGTACTGGCACAACTTCACCTCATCCTGGGACACAGGCCAGACAGAGACAGACAGGACATCGTCACTCCACTCCACTTCACCACTGGCTGAATAGCTATGCAGCTGGAAATATTATTTCTTTTAACTTTGTCAGCACATTGTTTTTTTTTCTCAATAAAATCTGGAGTGGACCATACTGTTGTTCCATTGCCCTCCCAGACTGAGCCCCGTGACCACTCGGTAAGAGAGCCCTCCAGCCACGGCCACACACAGAGCACAGAGCAGCTGCTGCCCCTGACCAAGGGGGCAGGTTTCCTGTCTGCGCGCTGCACAGGAACATGTGTGGGTCATGTTTGTGTCTGTGGCCCTCCAAGGGCCAGACAAGGGCATTGGAGGTCCACAGAGAGGTGAGTCTGTGTCTGGCAGGGGCCCCTGCTCAGCTGGTCTCTCAGGTGAAGAAGCACTGGCAGTATTGAGCAGGATGAGCAGTGACAGTGGGTAACAGTGCCCCCTGGTGGCGGTGTCTATATTGTCATGTAAGCCTGTCCCCTTAGCTGTGAGTCTTCCTCCCTTTTTACCACATAAAAGCCTTTGTGTCTGAGCTTTCCTCTCTTTCACTACAGCGCATCCTTCTTCAAACATCTGTCAGAGGAGTTTTTTTAAAACAATTCCCCCAGAGGGAATTTTAAAATATGCGTACAAATAAAAACATGTAACAGGTTTATTCCATGCTGAAAAAAAGAAGAAAGAGAACACAACGTTTCGGCCGTGGAGCCTTCTTCAGGTGTGAGAGAGACAGGGCAGTAGGCAAAGGTAAAGTAGCGGGAGAACAAAGGCTGGGAGGGAGGAGGAGTGAGAGGCGGGAGCAGGGGACAGAAAGAGAGGCCAATCAAGAGGTGTGAAGTCAGAATGGGTGCAGAGAGGTGTGAAATGAAACTTCCAATGAATGGAGAAAATTTAAAAGAACAGTAGTCTGTCGTTAAGAGAAGGGAGAATGTGTGATCCTAGCTGCAGAATAATTTTAGTTTCGGTGGTCTTTCTGATGTATGAGTTCGGAAAACCGTCTTTGAGAACACAGACGGAGAGATTAGAGTGGTCATGGCCGTCAGAGGTGAAATGAGAAACAATGGGCTTGGAGAGATCTTGAATCTTCACAGCCCTGACGTGTTCTCTGAACACAAATAAAAACATGCAAAAGTCACCATCAGGCCGTGATTTGCACTTCTTCCTGAAGAACACTTGAATGATTCTGCATCTCTTTCCCTCACTGTGAACCTGAAACCTGACACAGACCCATTTCCTGTCCTGGAAACACAAACCATTTCTATAAAACAACCGCACTGTGCACATACCTCAGCTCTTGAGTGTGTCTCTCTTAAAAGAGATACTGGAAAGAAAAGAAAAATGATTACTCATTTACACACTTTTTTTTTAAACACATTTTAAAACTTCCTGGATCCTCACACACAAAGCCGTGGTGCTACAAACAGTAGAGAAAGCTAAGCAGCTGGTGACACAGCTGTCAGGATACTGGAGCTCCAGAGAGTGCTGGAGGTCCGAGGTATGACTTCAGCAGGATCTTAATTCATACCTTTCCTCACACTGCTGTGTGGAACAGCATCAGACCAGCACAGCTAATCTGTACACCTTCAATATTGCAGGAGGTCCTTCTGAGCCAGACCTGGTCACTCAGCAAACACAACACAGTGATCAGGCACAGGGAGTCAGGGAGAAAGTGCTTGGGTTAAAGGCGAACTGCAGCACTATTTTATATATCTGGGTTAGAAAGAATCGGCAGTGGTGAGTACAAGTGAAATGTACACAGTAGCTTGTAAAACCTCCGATTCACATCACCAAATAGATGACATTTCCAGACATGCACAGCACCATGTTCTGAGATTCAGAATAAGGCAACAGGCCGTCTATTGACGTGATGCGGCTCTCTGACACTGTAAAGAAGCCAGCTTGTGAATACATCTCTCTTAATCCAATAGAAATCACATTACATTAGACATCACAGTGACTAGTGAGCAGGAAGGGCAGCATCACGGTGCAATTCCCATAAACCCTCTGCAACATTTTACAAAGTTCACAATTTTGAGCTTAATTCGGAATTCGTAAAAATATTGCAATACCGTCGATGAATTTGCTTTGTTACCGAGATTTAGATTTTAATGACCAGTCTGAGAAATGGGGACTGCAGTTCCCCTTATAGGTAGATCAAAGCTGCAGCCTCACAGGGAAATGTTGAGCAAAACCTGGTCCAGGCAGAGGAGTGCTTGGGAGAGAGCGGGAGGGGGAGGTTACCTGCAGGGCCGTAGGGACTTTCGTAAGTCAGATCAGGGTTGGCGGGGACTGTCGCAATCGGGGCAGGAAGGACGTAGGGATTAGGGTGCTGTAGGGTGATGCTGGCCGGGGAGCGCTGGAGATGGGCGATCTCCTCCTGCAGTCTCTCCAGTCTGCTCACCAGTGCCTGGTGGACAGCACACACACACAGACAGGACAGGACAGGACAACGATTAACGCCACCCATCTGGGGACACGGCTGTAAGAGATCACCATGTCCGATCCTGGTGTTAATAGAGCCAAGTGCAGTGAAAATATGGGCAGGTTTACTCTCTCACGGTGTGAAGGTGAGGTAAATGGGTTAAAAGCATGAGACGACTACGGTTTTAACAGTTTTGGGCTCATAACAAAAAAAAGGTTACAAATGAGAGGAGATAGTAATTGATCCCAGGATCTCAGCCAGCTGTTTCTTGAAAGAAGCCAAGGTTTTGGCTTCAACAACATGGCTGGGGAGAATGTTCCATACTCCCACAACCCTTTGTGTAAACACGTGCCACTGGGCTCAGATTTAAATGCATTTTTATGCAGCTTCCACTCCTGTCCTTTAGTGGAGTAAAAGACCTTGGTGAAGCTTCTCATTCTGCAAGCATGGTTCTCCTGTGCTGATGAGATTCCATTTGTGCAGCTCAGCGAAGCCCGAGCTGGCCCGGGCTCGTGGCTCCTGTTCGGTGCTGTTCTACCTTTTTCTCCTCGGCCAGCTCCTCCTTCTCCATCGTGAGGAACTGGGTCTGGCTGGCCTGCTCCTCCAGGCTCTGTCTCGCCTCCATCAGCTGGATCTGCAGAGAGCAGAGAAGGGACCCGCTGACAGGCAGTCTTACACATCCCACACGCGCACACGCACACTGGTGCTGTCACGGTATGAGCCAATGTAAGAAAATGACATGCAACCTGTTCCTTACACTGAAAATGTGCCTTTCAAAGCAAAACTCATTTTATTAAGAGCGGTTTGACTGCTTTGTGGCACAGCACCGCCGAAGTTTTTACTGATTTATGTGGACGAGACTTTTTATAATAATAATAATAATAATAATAATAATAATAATAATAATAATGTTGCTTTATTAACCCTATACAATTTCTTGCATTAGGAATTTGTCTTTTCGCATACCCAGCTTGCTCTCCCTGAGACACACAGACAGGGAGAGAAGCTGGGGGTCAGAGTGCAGGGTCAGACGTTTATACAGCGCCCCTGGAGCAGTTGGGGTGAAGGGCCTTGCTCAGGCCCAACGGAGTTGGATTCCTCTGCCGGCTGCGGGATTTGAACCGGCAACCTTCCAGCCACAGGCGCAGATCCTGAGCCATTTTATCCAAAGAAACAGACATTTGCACCAGCTTTGTCCAGCTGAGGGGTTTTCCTGGAGCACTCAAAACAAAGCACCTGGCTCAAGGGGGCAAACAGCCTTGCAGTTACAGTCCAGACCTCCGCCCCCCTGCCAGCCTTTGCTTTGGGGTCCCCCGAGCCCCCCCCCCCCCTTTGGGGAAACTGCACTGGACCTGCACGAGCCGGGGCGGGCGCTGGCCGTACCTCCACCTTGCTGTTCATCTCCTTTATCTTCTCGTAGCCCCTGGTCCAGTACTTCAGCTGCTCCTGGGACTCGGTCAGCTCCACCCTCAGCCGCTCGCCCGCCCGCTTGAGCTCCTCGCACTGCTGCCCCGCCCTCTGCTTCTCCACCGCCAGCTGGCCTGTGAGCTCCTGCAGCCGCCTGGACAGGGCCTCGCTCTGCAGGGCGCACAGAGCGACAGGGCAGGGGCGCCCAGGTTACACCAGGGCGCCCCAGGGCTGCCTGCACAGGCTTGCCTTGCAAATGAGAACGGTAAATCGTTCTGCAACGCAACAGTGTTTATTTTCTGCTGCCCGTTTGGAAAGGACGTGAAGGGTGGTGGTCACCAGCAAAAATCCAGCGATCTCTTTTCTCATCACTGCATGCAGTACAGGGTCACAGGGGAGGTGGAGCCTATCCCAACAAGCAACAGGTGCAAAACAGGGTACACCCTTGGATGGGACACCTGTGTGTGACGGGGCGCACACACACCCCTACCAGTGTGTCTTCAGGCTGTGGGAGGAAAACAGAGCACCCAGAGGAAACCCATGCAAACATGGCGAGAACATGCAAACTCCACGCAGACAGCACCCCAGGGTCAGAATTGAGCCCAGGGCCCCAGAACTGCGAAGCAGCAATGTTCGACACTGTGCCACCACGCTGCCCTACCAGCAAACCTGCATAGAGGGCACATATTACACAATACTGCGTTGCTACCTGCTGCAGTGCTGTCATGGCTCCCGAGTTTTAAAACTGGGGGGAGCTAGAAAGATACTAGGCGTTGAGCTGCACGCTGAGGCTTTCAGCGTAAAAGTCTGGTGCAGCCTGACAATCTGGGCAGAGCCGCAGTCCCTGCTGGCAGCCCGGTACAAGAGCCAATAGCCCTCAGCCCTTTCCCGGACCCCCACCTGCTCGCTGGCGCTGTCCCCCATCTCCTCCTTCTCAGACAGGCTCCTCCTCAGCACGTGGACCTCTGAGCGCAGCCTCTCGCCCTCCTCGGCCGCCGCCCGCGCCGCCCGCAGCTCGCCCGCCAGCTTCACCGCCTCCTTCTGGGAGCTCTGCAGGTCCACCTGCGGAGCGGAGCACAACGGCCTCAGGCCACGGGTTTGAAGGGGCACACCGGCGGGTGTCAGTGTCGGGCTCAGCAGGATCCGAGGCTGGCAGCAGCCCTGGTGCTGATCGGGAAGGAGAGCCATCGGCCGGGGTCTGACGCGCGTCATGTGCAGACCGGGCCAGCGTACGCTCCTCGAGCCCAGGGGTCCCTCATCCTGCATCCTAGGGGTCCCGAAGGTTTGTTGAAGAGCTTGTGAAGAAGAGCCTGCAGCCTGCTGAGCTAGCCTGGTCAGTACTGGGATGAGAAACCAGGCTATAGCTGTCAGCAGTGTGGGAAGCCTAGAAGGTGGCTCTCCTCCTGCTGAACCAGATTTTCCTAACCAGTCCTAAGATCCTATGGCTCTGTTTGGAAGGGTTTATCCTGATATAATAATAATAATAATAATAATTGCTTACACTTATATAGCGCTTTTCTGGACACTCCACTCAAAGCACTTTACAGGTAATGGGGATCCCCTCCACCACCACCAATGTGCAGCATCCACCTGGATGATGCGACGGCAGCCATAGTGCGCCAGAACGCTCACCACACATCAGCTATCAGTGGGGAGGAGAGCAGAGTAATGTAGCCAATTCATAGAATATCCTGGGTGATTCCAACCTGGGCTTGTACGTTCTGTTCCTCCTCAATTCCCCCTCGGCGAAGCAATCTCTCATTCCTGCCCCCAGCTCTACAGGTGGGGCTGCCCTACAGTGGGGTCGAATGGGTCCCTTTCTGTGTGTAAAGAGCTTTGGGATCCTGTAGGTTAAATGTGCAACACGAATTCGAGGAACTCATTTAAATGAGATCCAAGCACCCCGTGGCACAGCACCCACAAAGGAACAGAACGGGGGATTCTGGCATTCCCAGCAATGTCTCCGTCTCCCGTGGGGATGATCATGGCTCCGTTCGCGGGCCACCAGCCCCCCAGCCTGACCTGCAGCAGCTGAACCCGGTCCTCCTGGCTCCTGAGCTCCTCCCTGGCCCTCTTCAACTCCTGATCCAGCTCCCTGAGCTTGTTCTTCAGCCTGCGGACACAAGGGCGAGAGACGGACACAAGGACTCAGCCCAGGGCTGTGAGGCCTGAGGAGAAAGACCCCCGTGCCCAGTCACACGGGCCTCTGGGGTCGTGAAGGCACAAGCAACCAGAAGGCCAAGATGAACTGAGCGACCTCACACATGAAGCCTTTCTTGTGCTGAGCTCAGTATTAAGATGTTCTCCTGCTTCCTCAAGGTAGAGGATATCTCCCGATGTCTTCCGCAGTGAGCCGACAGCACAGAGCGGACAGCTGGCCCAGTGAAAGCTTGTCCTCTCTGCCTGGGGCCCTGGCCGGCCCAGCTCCTGTGCTTGGTGACTCACCGTGCAATCTCAGCCTCCTGCTCCTCGGTGCGGCCCCTCAGCTCGTCCTTCTCCTGCCGCTGCTCAGCAATCTTGGCAAGAGCTCGCTCGTACTTCTCCTGCAGGGTCTTCACACTCTGCTGCAGCTCCTGCACAGACAGGGAGAGGGAAGATCACTTCATACCTTTTTTCCCCATTTTCTCAAGTGTAAATCCACTGCCTGTGGACGTGTACTCTTTCAGCTTTTGTTTTACATGACATTTACAGACTGAAAACTTCCTCGGCCAATCACGTTGCTCTACCCAGATGCTGGGCCAATCGCATTGCAGTACACAGATGCTGGGCCAATCGCATTACTCCACCCAGATGCTGGGCCAATCGCATTGCAGTACACAGATGCTGGGCCAATCGCATCGCTCCACCCAGATGCTGGGCCAATCGCATCACTCCCTCTGTGGGAGCCCCGTGTCCCCTGGTGTGGGCCACTGAAG